AATACATTTTTATATATTTATTATTTATTCCAAGATTATCTTTTTGAAATTCAATATATTTTCAAAATTCAATTTATTCTTTTACATAAACATCTTGTAAATGGATTAACATAATCTTGAAACAAACAAAATATTTTTTGTTATCACTTTATGTTAATACTTTTAAATACATGGAATTCAAAGTAAGTCTTATCAACGTTTGCAATCACTGTTGAAAAGCAAACAAGTTATTACCACCATAGAGTCATTGAGAAGCGGAATAAGAGGAAATATGTTCTCAAATTGGCGGATTACGAATATAGCCCCTTTTCCGTGCAGCAGCACAAGAATACTTTGAATCTACAAATTTTGGCTCTACATCATATAAGTACCATGATATTTCAATCCAAGCACCAACTGGAGCCAAGTACCACGTTCTCGTAGTAGAAATAAAGAGGCCCAATAGCATCTTCTGGAAATGTTCTTTGAGTTATCTAATCTGATACAGTAGGAACCTCAAAACCAATCATTGGATTTGGAAGATGAACTACATGATCGTCTTCATTATGAAGCTTCTTTTCAAGCTTCCTCCACTTTTTCCTTTTCCAAAAATCATAGCCCAAGTTTCGCCTTTTCTTGTAATTGGGATCATTGCATAATGGCTTCCTATCTTCTATTGGAAGAAGTGCGTTAACAGCCTTAGTCATTTGAGCAGCACATATAAAATCTGTCAATTTTGTAATTGATGAATCCGGACCACATCTCTCCATGACTATTAAAGCCTCAGCCTCTAAGTACCCCATTTTCGTCAAGTATAACAGTTTATTCTCCTCATCAGAATCAGAATTCAGGATTTCCTCAGTATCAGAAGAACTATCAATATCTGTGAAATCATCCTGAAAGATCGCTTCATAATCAGATGAGTAGTTATCAGAATCAACATGTTGCATGGGTGCGGACTTTTCAAGAGCATGTACCACTATATATGTAGTCTTGTTATTGCATCAAAATAAGATCAATGTTCACATAAATTGGTTTCTCTCCCACAGAAAAGTATATTCCAGAAATAGCCTTCAATGAAAATAAGGTTCACAGTGTCAGCCTGGAATGGATTACCAAGCGATTTATACTACTCTATCCGACTAGATACCTCCATATTAAAAAATGGGCACCTCATTCAGAAAAGGCACAATTCATACAGATCCATACATGACATCTTGAAAGCTCATTTCAACCAGAAATAGAATGGTGAGGCATTTTGAAGGCTCATAGTAATATGAATATTTGGGCATTTTGAAAGCTCACATCAATAATAAGCAAATGTTGGGGCATGCTGAAAGCCCATTTCAATTAGAATAAGGAATGTTAACACATTTTGAACGCTTGTATCAGCAAACACTGGGGTATGTTGAAGGTCTACATCATCATGTGTTAAATATTATTGACTTGAGCAAATATTTCCAATGAGACAGAAAATAGCAGGAATTTTGTGAATGAAATATTTCTTCTGAAGAAGACAAAGATTACTCTTCCAAATCAGAAATGCCAGCTTGAAATGACATTTTAACCAAATGAAAGAAGACCAAATTTGCCACTGTAAAGTAAAAAAAAATACACTCAACATTCATGCATCATATTTAGGCATTTGCAGAAATAAGGGCATTTTCATTCATTTTATCCATGTTGAATATTTGATAGGAATTTCAAAAATTTTAGCAAAGATTTGAATCCATCACTCAATGGATCAACCTGCCAGGTAGAGTTCATAATGAGAAGAACTCATTTGAAGAAGGAAGAAGAAGTTCATAATGAGAAGAACTTGTTTAACCTTTTGCTCGAATTCATCACTCGATGGATCAGCTTTTCCAGAGAAAGTTCATAGTGAGAAGAACTTATCTGAAGAGGAACAAGAAGTTCATAATGAGAAAATTTGTTCAACCTTTGCATAACTCTATCACAGAAGGAGATAGATCAGCATCCACATTTCCAAAAGTGTTCATAATGAGAAGAACTCATCTGAAGAAGGAAAAGAAGTTCATAATAAGAAAAACTTGTTCAACCTTGCTTTAATTCATCACATATGAAGCCAAATTAACAACCCCTCTTTTGAAGATCAACATTTCCAGAAAGAGTTCATAATGAGAAGAACTCATCTGAAAAAGAAGAAGAAGTTCATAATGAGAAGAATTTGTTCAACTTTTTGCTCGATTACATCACAGAAGAAAATAAATTGTCATCCCCAGTGGAAAAGATCATAATGAGAAGAACTAATCCCAAGAAGAAACTTGTTCAACATTTCCATCCTAATCAAGTGAAGTCAAATGGATAAAAAACTTATTATCTTTTCATCTTTGCCCTATTCTTGTTAAACACAAGAATGAGCAAAAGAGGGGCAGCTGAAGATACTCGTTTTTATCCATTTATTTATATTTATATTTTTATTATTAGTTTTATTTATTATAAACATTATTATAAATATTTTATTTATTATTATTATTATTATTATAATAAATTTATATTACAGGCCCAAATTACAAACCCAACCGAGACCGGTCCAGTTACAAGAGCCTAACTCTAGCCAGCCCAATAAAAACCCTAAATTGATTAGGGTTTATATCATCTCAACCCTAGCTCCAATCGCTGCCTCAAGCTTCCAGAAGCCACAACCGTCGCTCGTTGCCAACTGCTCCACGCCGCCGCTGCCACGCCAATGCCCTCGTCGAAGCCTCCAGAATGCCAGCTGCATCTCCACATGTCGAGCTCTATGGTGAGTCACCACCGTAGCTATGGTGACTCACCTAGGGTCACCATTTGGGACCGGTCCGAAGAAGACATCGGCGGGCCTATAAAGGCCATTGATCGAACCTGTAGCAAAGAACAGCGAGGAGGAATCCGAGAGTACAACAAAACGAACAAAAAACAAGCAAACATAACCACACAACAGCAACAGAAACCAAAAACCGAGAGAAAACAACGTGAGAACGAGGGACTTACCACCGAGGAGAGCCTAATCATCGTCGGAGACGTTGTTTCAACCGAGGTAAAAGCTTCGGTTTTCCTAGATCTACAGAAATTTAAGGGGATTTAGGGAAAACAGAGGTCGTATTCAGCCTTAGGAGGTCAAAATCTATGTTCTAGTGTAATTTATAAGTTCCGGCCACCGTAAGCGGTGGCCGGCGGTGGTGGTCAGTGCTGGATCCCGGCTGCCGGCCGGTGGTCTCTCTCCATTTTAGAGAGAGGAGAGAGAGAACTCTCTCTCGGTTTTAGATAGAGAAGAGAAAAGAGGAAAATGAGAGGATGGCCCGAAGGGCCGGCTATAACAGGGTATATATACCCTCTCTTAAACGACATCGTTTAAGGGAGGGCCTTTGTGTAATTTCATACATGGCTAAACTATTCCCACAGCCACTGTAACTTTAAAAACTTGCAATTTGATCTGATTTAGCCCTCATAATTTTATTAATTATATTTTAATCCTGAAAGCATGTTTTAATTTATTTTAATTTGATATTCAAAATTTGATATAAGTTTATTTTAGTCACTAAATTAATAAATAGGTAAAATAACATGTTTAGACACTGTATTTTTAAATAATTAATTACGAATTAAGGTATTTAATTTTAATTTAGTCACTAATTTTAATACTTTCATTTATTTTACAAGCTTTATTACTTTTTATACTTTAATACTATAATTTTAATTTTATTTATTTTAGTCACTATTTATTTATATTTTAATTTAATTTATTATTTCATTATGTTTAATTCAATATTCTAATTATTATTTTATTATTATTTTAATTTATTCATATAAATATATATATATAATAAATATATTTATTTATTGATTTTTTTATATCAAATAAAAATCCTATTTAATAATATATATTTTCTTTAATTTTATATAAATTACTTTTAGGAAAAATAATCATATTTTAAATATTTATTTATTTTTTTATATTAAGGAAATGGTTATCTTAAAGCAACTAGAAGTCTTTTTCTGATATTTCTAAATAACTAAATATTCTACTTTTATAAATTATATATATATATATATATATATTTATTTTATTTTAATTATTTTTAGAAAAATATTTAATTAATATATATTTATTTATTTTAATATCAAGAAAGGGTTGTCTTAAAGCACCTAGAAGTCCTTTTCAGATATTTCTAAGTAAATAAATATCTTATATATATATATATATATATATATAATTATATTAATAAATTTGAAATAACAGGATTATGAATTAAATATATTTTTAATTTTTTAATTTCCAATAATAGAGACAATTTATAATTAATAAGTATCAAATTTGGGCGTTGTGGGGGTGTTAATCCTTCCCCAAACGTAATCGACAACGAATCTTTTTTTATTATTAAAAAGAACGAATTTTTGGTTAAAACGCAGACCATTTTTATCTTTTAAATTATGTTTTACTCAAAACTATTTTAAAAGATTATTTTTAGGTATTCGACCTATGTGACCTAATAGGCCGATGGCGACTCCCAAAACATTTTAAAACCATTTATTCACATCACTTTTTTCGCCAAATAAAAAATTCGTGCCCGGGCGAAAACCGATTACGACATCATATTTCACTAACCAAAACGAATCTATTTTAGAGTATATTTGAGTTTTTTTAAAACGGCGTCGTTTTGAGTATTGTGTCACGTCATAATGTCGTTAAAAAGATAACATAAGACTGAACAAAATGATTCAATATGTAAAATTCAATGAATAAATTAAAAAAATTAAAAGTTCAGTGAGAAAAATAAGAGAGATTAAAGTAGAGTGAGGAGCCGTGTAACTTACCATCTTTTAATTTATAAAATTTTAAAGTTTATTTATTTTTTTTATAAATAAAAAAAATAAGTGAAAATGATAACGAAAATCTACAAATGCAAAAACACTGGGAATCTGAGGAGGCACGTGTTCTCAAAGCAAAGCAATAACAGTTCTAACTTCTATCCGAGCGTCCCCTTTAAAAGTAATAAATAAACAAGGAGAGTCGCACACTGCGACCATCGCTTCTTTGTGCGGACTGATATATCCACGAAAGCACCCATTTTTATTACCAAATACCGAAACCTAAAAGGCTTCGGTTCGCGTAATCTGCCGGATCATGGAAGTTGATCCTCGTCTATACGAACAAATTGTAAGTTTTTAATCTTTTCTACCCATTCTGTTTTCACTTCTGAAGTTTGGGCCCTTTTCTTCAAATGGTAAATATAGTGTTATGCTTTAAATATGTTTGGTCAATTGCATTGTTGCAGAACAAATTTTTGTTTTTTCTAGAATAACAACCAAGCATGGTATTTTTTTATTGAATTATTAGAAATTAGGGTATTGCGCAATTATTCTGTTTAATCAGTTTGTTATAGTTTACTGGGTTCATATGGATTTTTTATAAACATGGATTAGGGTTTATTTTTTTTAAACTCAATTGGAGTCGAAACTAATTCCAAGAACAATTTTGTATTAATGAATTCTGAATTAATTGTGGGTTATATTGTATATGCATTAGCTTGGTTTTGTAACAGAACCAACATGCAAGGCTCTGATTGTTATTCTGCTATGGTTGACCAATAAATGGGTTAAGCAAGTGAAACCTTTATTCTATGGATAGACCCTTTGTTTGGAAGGTTTCTCCTCCACTAGTTCAAATGTTGAATATGGATAGTTTTCGTATAATTTTAGGTCTTGGTTGCAGATTGTATCGGGGTTATTTGGTCTAGTGAGCATAACTCTTGACCTTGTTTAATGATTTTGGGAGTGATATGGAATTGTTTCAGCTTTTTCCTGTAGCAATGATTTATATAGTTGATGTAAGGTTACGCTTTCCTGTCCTAGCCTATAGTTTATAGTGTCGCAACTTAAAATAGCATTCTTCATCTTCAGTCATTTTTTGATGAATCGTCTAATTTGGTTTTTAATATTTTTCAATCTACTGCATTGTACATATTCTTATGGACTCCTTTTTCCTCTTCTTTTCGATAATGACTCGCCAGAATGGCCTTATTCATTAATCTATGTTATACTTATGCCATTCATGTAGACTTAGTTTCTTATATTCGAGCTTCCATTTCCATATGTCTTTTACAGTCAGTCAATGATAATGACATCCACAACATTGTTATGTCGTATCTTGTCCACAATTGCTTTAAAGAAACCGTGGAATCTTTTATTGCTTGTACTGGGATGAAGCAGCCTTCTGATCATCTTGAGGACATGGAAAAACGAAAACGTAAGTGAAGGCTTTTTCTCACTTGATTTATTTTATGCATAAGATATAGATAACCTAGGATTACTACTCTGGAGCAGATTTGTGCATCTATGGCATCTGTTAATTTTCAAAGATGCAAGGTTTTCTAACGACAGGGTCTATCTTCTGCATTAAAGTTCCAAAAATGAACAAGCACGCAATGTTGCTGAAACTCAGGTGTGTTGGATATGGCAATGTGTCCAACGTGTGAATGTTCACTTTTTTCTAAAATTTTCCATGTATTTGGAGAGTCATACCTTCATACCCATGTTTGTATATGTTCCGGGCACGCGTATCAGATACTGATACATCAAGAAATACGAATTGGAACAACTTTGCTAGCATGCATGTGGCAATGTGTCTAAAAAAGCTAAAGGGCTTTGAAGTAACTGACATTGAAGCTGAAATATGGCTAAAAGATGGTTCAGCAACCTAGCATACTAAATTTATGCAAATACAGAGAGCTTTCTTCTGCATGCATGTTTCTTTGTAGTAATTTGCTGTCACCTCTCTTTTATAATCTTGAAATGCTGACAACTTTGTTGTAATTTTGTGCAGGAATTTATCAATTTGCTTTAGAGGGGAATGCACTTAAGGCAATTGAGTTAACTGAAGAGCTAGCAGCTAACTTACTAGAGAAAAATAAGGACCTGCATTTTGATCTTCTGAGCCTTCATTTCGTTGAGCTTGTATGCTCTAGGAAATGGTGAGATGAGAATAAGATATCTCTTGAATTATAAATTACTGATATTCTATAGTTGAAAATATTCACTTCTATTGCAGCACAGAAGCTCTGGAATTTGCACAGATGAAACTGACCCCATTCGGGAAGGAGCAAAAATATGTTGAAAAGCTTGAAGTATGTAATTTTAGCAAATTTTCACACTTCTAATCTATGTGTTGGACATTGAAAGATATGCCATTACTGCAGGATTTTATGGCTTTGCTTGCATACGAGGAACCGGAGAAATCTCCGATGTTTCACCTGCTTAGCTTGGAGTACCGGCAGCATGTTGCAGATAGTTTAAATCGAGCAATTCTTGGTAAGTTTAGTTCTTACAACTTCTTCTTGCAACATATTTCCTTTTAGGATGTTGTGTAGATTCTTCCTCTGGCTATCTGCTGTGTTTAACGTGTCACTATCTGATTATTCATCCTGCGTCATGAATAATGTCAGCTCATGCAAACCATCCAACCTACACGGCAATGGAAAGGCTGATACAACAAACAACAGTAGTTAGGCAATGCTTAAATCAAGAGCATGGAAAGGTAATCCATGGAGGTTCCTTCCATAAACACCTGATCCAAATGTGACACTGAACTCGGTTCTGTTTTGTAGGATGGGCCTCCTCCGTTTTCTTTGAAGGACTTCCTGAGAAGCTGAAGTGCTTAAAACTCGAAGAACTTCTGTGGAGAACTGTTAAAGGGTACTTATATCTTTGTTTCCGATTGTGGTTTCACTTTAAGGTCTCATCGTGGTTGACGGCATAGTCGTTGCCTGCGTCTCTGTAAAGGTTTTGACAATGGCCCTTTGGGTGCATCTAAATGTTCATGCTCTTTCTGAAGTTTGCCTGATTGCCTCTTTTCATGAATGGTCGTCTAAAGCTCTAATTTTGCAATTTGGGTTGCAATTGGCCTTTTTAAAGTTAAAAGTTTTCAACTTTTATTTTGATTTTTAGTTCATTTGTATCTGAGTGTTAATATTACATAACTATCAAATCAAAAATTACGTTTTGATAATGAAAATATATACTGTATGGTAATGCCTTTTATCATAACCATTAAGTTTAATTTTTATAATAAAGGCTAATCAAATAAGGATTTTGCAGGCTACATATTTTTAAGGATTGGTGTTCATTGCCCAAGCGGAGCGAATAGTAGGGGTGATTATCGAGCGAGTTGATCGAGTGTGAGGTAGTGCTCGACTTGTGCTCGTTAAAAAAAAATTGTTGCTCAACTTGACTCGTGTTCATTAAAAAATCTTGTTGTTTGTCTCATTGCTCGTTAAGTTCACTAAAAAGTTTATTTTATTTTTTTAACTATAGCTAAAATCTATTAATACTTTATAAAGCTTAATATAAATGTAAATTGATAAATTTAACCAAAACAATTATCAAAAGAGTGTATAAAATAAATTCAAAGTATAAACTCCAAAATAAAAACTCACAAATACATTAAAATAATAATTGAAGTTTAATTTTTTGGTGTAGTAAAATAATAATTATTAATTAATAATTTAATATTTTTTATTAAAAAATTAATATATTAGTCATTTATCATATATTAGTAAATTAATAATTTTTTAATAAAATATTTATTTAAGATAACTAGTAAAAATTTATTTAAAAAAATTAACGAGCAGCTTGGAAACTTATCAAGTGGAGTTAAATTTTGCTCGACTCAACTTGTTAAGGTATTGAGTAGGGCTGAGCAACGAAACCGAGAAAACCGAAAAACCGGCACGAACCGAGTAAAACGGTTCGATTCGGTTCGGTTTGGCTTTAAACGGTTAGATTTTCGGTTTGGTTTAAAGGCTTCATTTTTTTGATTCGGTTCGGGTTTTCCATATGGAACCCATTTGTTCCATATTGAACCGAATAGGCAATTTTTGTAAAAAAATTATAGTTTCAAGTGATTTTTTTATTGAAAAACCGATAAATCGAACCGAACCGAACCGAAAAACCCGAACCGTTAAAAAAACCGAACCGAACCGAAAAAATCGGTTTCGGTTTTTTAACTATTCGGTTTCGATTTAAATATTGAAAACCTGTTTATTTCGATTCGGCTCAATTTTTGGTAAAAAACCGAACCGAACCGAATACACCCCTAGTATTGAGTCGAGATCAAATTAGATTTGAGTTAATCCGAATCGAACTTTTATCAAATTTTGACTGAGTCGAGTTTGAGTTATTCGGGAGCTGCCCAACTCGTTAACCACCCCAGGTGAATAGGGTATGGTACGATGGTCTCTATAAATAAAGGCTTAGATAGTTAAAAAGTTAAAATTTGTTTTAAGGTTGACAAAATTATTTTTTAATATTTAAATTTTGCTTATACGTGTAACCATTTATTTAAGTTTTTTAATATAATAAAAAAATTTAAATTTTGATATAAACATTTTTTATTTTTTTCATAAGATTATCAGCCAACCATTGAAAGTGATATTATACATAATGAATAATTTGAAGTTAGATGAAAACCCTAACTCCATTACATTGTCAAAATAGAATTTCATAAGATGATATGATTTAAGATAAAAAAAAATAAAGAAAAAGGGAAATTCTTTTTAATAGTTTGTGATTATTATTAATTTAATATTTTTTAATTAATTGAAAATATGCACATATTTTGTCGATGTTTGAATTTAAAATCTTTAAAGAATATTTCCTTTTTAACTCCTAGTTGAACATAAAAAAAAATCTTTAATGATTGTTCTTGATCATGGAAAATTCTTCAATTAAAAATAATACTTGACCATGATGGCATATGATTTTGGAAGAAGAGAAAGAGCAGCATGTATTTTGCCATCATACATCATAATGATTTCTACCATTAACTCCACAACTTTCCCCCTAAAAAGCAAATCACCAAAACATAAGAAAAAGCATATGGGAGCATCATCATCAACCCTTGAACAAAACATGGCTTCTCCTTTAGTCCTTTCTGCAACTTAGAGAAAGCCATTAACTAACTAAGAGAAAAAGAAAAACACACACACAAACTTTCTGATACAACGGTAGAGTCCGCCACCTCTCATTCGTGGTTGTTTCCGCCATGGTCAAAAGGTTATGGGGATTTTAAAGTTAAACATTTTCCGTTGAGTGGCGGAGTAATGGGTGCGTTAGAGATGTTGGGCCGTGCTCCGGTGTAGATTCAAGTGTTCTCTTTTCTTGTGCTGCGAAGTTCCTCTCTTCGCTTTTCCCCCATAGCACTAAATACAGTCCCACTATAATCAACACTGCTCCAATGATTCTGCAGCCAAACCATGTCAAAATTTATACTATATAACAGTTTAAATACGATTATGGCACCTACCCTCCCAAATAGAACTGTTCCCCTAGAGAAATGGAAGCCATGATAGCGACAACAAGAGTCTGAACTGGTTGATAAACAGCAACGAAAACAGGGCCGCCTCTGTCAATGCACCATATCTGTACCGCGAATGCAATCCCTGATGCCACCACTCCCTGCATGTTTTACGCTCAAATTTTAATTTTTGATCACTTATTCGTGGTTCACAAGGAGTGGTTAAAATGCACTGACCGCGTAGAGAATAGTGAAGAGTTCGCCGCCAGAGTGGAACATCCAAGCTTGAGTGTCTCTCTCGAAAACTAGCGCAATGATGAGGAACTGAATGAGACCGAAGAAACATGTGTAAGATGTGACGGAGAGTCGAGCCGGGTACTTCTTCAGCACCGGTGCCTGCAACACCAGCCAAGCGGACCAGGACAGACAATGGCCGATTAGATAGAGACAGCCGAGGGTCCAGTTCTTTCCGTTTGAGTCTCCCAATGAAACAAACATTGGTGTGGGTTTGTTCAGAGGTGTAACCGGGCTGTATATGGTTGGTCCTTTGTATAGTGTTATAACTGATGCTCCTGCCACACACAGGACTGTTCCAATAACTTTGGATATCCCATCTTTTCTATCTAGCCTCACTTTCTCTATCCTGATCAAATGAACACCGACAACAATCACAACATGAATTCATATATATTGATTGATGACAACAAGTTTATTCTGTCGCTAGATGTCAGTTGATTCTTTTTTATTTGAGCATAGAGTCATAACAAGTGAAAGAACGAACGTTAACAGGTGTTTTTTTGTAAAGGATGAAGTTGGTCATGGAAGATGAAAAAGACGATACAGACACCGTGAGGGTTCCAATCCATTTTTTAGTCTTAGTTGGATATTTACAATGGTCTTTTGTGTGTGTCAACCGTAATGTTAATACGGCTACTTGTAGATTAACATGTTAGATAGATTTGATTATTAGACTTTGAATTACGTTATGATAAATCACACGGCCATGTTAGAAGTCTTGTTTATGTACGGAAGTTGATTGAGAAGCCTGAGTTCAGAAAATGAAGGTTCGTTGGAGGCTGTTTGACAGAGATTAGGAGGTTCCCAGAAGTCGTCCTCGGAACTATAATATGTATAGGGTTACCTTAGTACGGCTGCCATGAGGAAGGTAATGGCAGGGACAGAGTTTTGGATTGCTGATGCAAAAGTTGGTGATGTGTTGTCTAAGCCCAACAAGTAGAAACCTTGATTAGCTGTGATTCTGTCATGTAAAAAAAAAAGACCATTAGTTTTGATTTTATTACACCAAAACTACAGTAAAGAGTTTCAATGACATGTTCTTGTGCATTACCCAACAAGAGCTAGGAGGAAAAACTGCATAAGAAAATTCAAAGTAATGGCTGGTCTCTCCTTCCTGGACAAAGAACAAATATTTTGCAAAAAAAAAGTTAGGGTTTTAAGTAAATCAATGTGTTTTAAAAGAGAAAAAGGTTGAATAAAATTACTTTTCAAGAAAATAAGCAAAGGGTAAGAGCAGAAGTAAAGCAATGATGTTCCTATATACTGGAAACACAAGTTTGCTAACGCCCATATTAAGGGCGGCTCTTGAAACCACATGGAACCCTGCATAACCGAACTGCAAGGCCAGCATCGCCATGTGCAGCTGAAGCCTTTCGGGGACCGAACACATCATCTTCTTGGCTGAGGCTGAACCACCAGCGTCGGCCATTGAAGCACCGTCTGATCTGAGATGAACACAAACGGAAGAAAGTGAAGTAGTCGAAGGTGGAGTGATATGAATGAATGAATGAATGGAAACGGTGGGTATAAATATAGACCAATGTGGATGGTTTAGGCCCCACAAATGAGGCAGCAAAAATGATATGTCGAAACTGTTGATAGTCCTTTTGTAAGATTGTTGGTTGTCTCCCACATTCTTTTTCCACCTCGAACTGACAAGACAACCCTAATAGCACTACTGCAACAACATGAATAGAAAGTAATGAAAAAGAAAAAAGAGATGATTATGCATATATTTAGTGCACGGTATTATAGTATTATCCAACAGGTTCTGTTTTGGCTCCATTCCATTAATGATTATGATCGGAGGAAATCAAATCTAAAGAAAAACGCCATGGTCGATAGCTTGCACGAGGGGTTGAAACCTCCACCTACAGAATTACTACGTCTAAGCTTTACATTTTTTAAAATTTTTTCTTCGTTATTTTAATACATAGTAAAACATTTCCATACTTTATACGTATGCAGTATCTATATATATATATATATATGTATTCAGCAAAGTAACAAGTTCTTGTCGGGAAGATCTCCAACCAAATTACTCACTGGAACAAGACGATTATCAACAGTTTAAGATGATCAACTCACTGATCTTCGTTTAAACGAGATCCGGCTCCACTCGGCGTTAGCAAAATAAAGAGGGAAAATAGGCTTAATACATTCTCTTTTTCTATTTCAAAAGTAGCTGCCAGCAAGTGGAATCCATGCTTTTTAAACAGATTTTTACTTTTCATAAAAAAAGTGTTTTAATGTACCAGATTACCTTAATCAATTTCATTAGAGGGCAGTTGATCCGTGTTTTTATATAAGAGAGTTAATTATAAGAAGAAGAAGAAATAAAGATTAGTCTAGATTATGGGAGGCTCGGGGTTCAATACCTTTATCGGTGTTGGTTGAGAATATTTACAGTGATCTTAGTTCACAGTGTTAGACATATGATAATTATGGAATCTTTTAAACTAAAGAGTTAGATTGATCTTAAATTTCATTCTAATAGTTCATGTAGACGTGTTAGATGTATGGTCTATTTACTATAATTAACTCGATAATCTATGTTTAAAACATAAAAAAAGTTGTGAAAAATTCAACCTGGAATAACATTCGAATTCTAGGTTTTTTGAAGTCACCATCATCCTAAAATTCAAGTAAAAAAGGGCTGCCCATGGGGGGAAAAGAAAGTGAATTTGTTTAGCCTTTTCCATCTTTAAAATAGGTTTTAATCCGACATCAAACGCTAATTGCATTTTAACAAGGATTGGTGAGTCTAGAAAGTGTAAGACTAGTAATTGAAAGGAAGAAAACTGAGTCTGACTGGCCTGCATGAAGTGGTCGGAAGTCGACCTGACCAACCCACTTGTGATGTTAATTGCATTTTATGTACATGACTGACAGCCACAACAGATTTTGTTCGCACGAGAGAATCTTCAATTCCAGACTCTGGTCGATGTCTGAGTCGACTCGTTTGACTGAATTTCAGGCCTTTTCTTTTCTTTTCTTTTTCTGAAAATTAAAAATAATAAAAGGCATATGCAACTTTCGATAACAGATGGAACATATGTTTATTATTTTAAGGGTTAATTTTTAGGATTAAATAGTGGTTTGATCACTCAACTATGCCTCATTTAGCATAATGATCCTTCAAGATTTTTTATCATCAATTTTTGATTAATCTAAGATAAGTGTAATGTATTACATATTTAAAGATGACTTTGAACCATTTGACATTAAATGTGCCTACCATTTAGCGGCATTTACTAAAAAAACGCTGCTAAACTTGTACATATCGTGGCATTTACATAAAAAGGCCACAAAATGAAAAAATTAGCAGCATTTATGTGAACGTGGCGCAATGTTCATGTACTTTTACTGACATTGTTAGTAAAAAAGCCACGAGGTTGATAAATGGTGACGTTTTTGGAGACATGCCGCTAGAGACGTACATTAGTGGCGTTTTTGTAACAAACACCGCTATATTCTCACGTATTAGTGGTGTCTGTCTTATAATCTAGGACATTGAAGAATAACAACAATTTCTTTATCATCAAAATCACTTGTTTCATGTTGAATATCTAGTGAAGAAACACAGTATACAAGTATATTGAATAGTGAATGAATACCACATCTGGTTTACAACTCCTCTGCTGTTTATATACAGCTCTTCATAGTTGTTATAGTCTTAACAGACTTTGTAACTAACCATTAACAACCTCAACTAAACATTAACAGCCTTAACTGCTAACAAACTTCTAGAATCACTAAACAACATGCACTAACTCATTATGCTAACATTCTCTCTACTTATTCTTCTTCTGTTCTTCTAACCTTGAACACACTATTATAGCCAGCTCTAAAAAAAACTAATTACAACTCATTTCTGACATTCAATCTTCTTGATGAAAAGATGAATAATTGAATCGAAAGTGCCGATGCTTCCTTCCGTTCACTTTTAATCGAAAGTGTCGATGCTTCCTTTCGTTCTTCTTGAATCGAAAGTGCCGATGCTTTCTTCCGTTCACTTTGAATCGAAAGTGTCAATGCTTCCTTTCGTTCTTCTTCCTCACCTTCATTTCTTTCTTCTTTATTGTTCTTTCAATTATACAAGACCACAAAAAAATAATACGCTATACCATTTACCGAAAATTCCATTGCTCTTTCAAGGCTTTGTTCTTTCCATGAAGATGCTGGTGCAATGATCCATGAGCCATAAACTCGTAAAACAGAAGCCGTTCTCCACCCTCTTCGCAGTATCCGAGCAGATTCAAAAGATGGCATGGTTCAATCTTGACAATAAATCTAACTGTGCGAAACTCTTTCGAATTCTTCTGTTTATCTGAAGATATTATAGCCTTTATAAATGCAACAACAGTCCCATCTTTCAATACCCCTATATAAACGCATGAGAAACTTCCTTTTCCAACCACAGATTCTTCTTTGAATCCACCAGTGGCCCTCTCAAGTTCTTCGTAATTGAACATCCGAGCTCTCCTGATCTTAAGCTCATCGAAGTCGGAACGGATTTTTATGTTTCTTTTCGGCAAGAAGCAACCTCATTAGCTTTCATGAATTTTGACTCTTTTGCTTTGCAGCGACAATTATGCAACCTCTCGTTTTTACTTCCATTAGCAGCATCAGAATTCGAATGCGAAGAACAATTAGAGAAGCACTCCACTGAATTGCAACTAGAACAATTGTAATCACAAACACAATCGGCCTTCAAAGTACATCCTGATTTTTGGTACATTTCAGCAGGGCAACCAATGCCGAGGTGGCAGTGAAGGAAACGAGCAATCAACAACTTGGCCGCAAGGGACTTATGGGCAACTTCCTCGGTTGTAACTCTAACAGGCTTTCCATCGAATAGTTTCTGGGCAGTTAGGGATTGCAATCCAGCCGGTGATTGGGTGGCAGATGGAGGATCCAATTGCAGGAATGATACAGGAGATGAGGGAGGGGCGATAAAGGGCATTACAATGCCAGTCAGATTGTTTACATTTTCAGCAGTTGAAACTGCAGCTCTAGGTGCCACTGGTTCAAGGACAAGGACAACATGGCCAATTCGCTTATTGTTCTTATGAGATCCGAAACACCAGTAAAAGCTCCAGCAGCTTCCCCATCGTTTCTTCTGAACTGTGGTAGGCTGGACTATGGACTTGGCTGAGACGATGGCGGAGGTAGCCACCGATGGCATATTCTCCTCCTCTTCCATGCAGCTGAAGAAAAAATATAAAATCAGGACCGTTTGGCGAATGATACCATGTTGAATATCTAGTGAAGAAACACATAATACAAGTATATTGAATAGCGAATGAATACCACATCTGGTTTACAACTCCTCTGCTGTTTATATACATCTCTTCATAGTTGTTATAGTCTTAACAGACTTTGTAACTAACCATTAACAACCTCAACTAAACATTAACAGCCTTAACTGCTAACAAACTTCTAGAATCACTAAACAACATGCACTAACTCATTATGCTAACATTTCATCCTTAATTATCATCAGTTTGAAATATCAATTATTCGATCGTTTATATGTCAAAAAAAATTATGTGATCATTTAACATCATTTTTTATATTTTTTTCAAATCATGTAAGTCGATTGATCTAAGTCACTTAATTGTAACAATAATGAATAATGTGTTAGATGACAAGCATGCAGCATATCCTTAATTAGTGAATATAATTATCAACAGTAATGTTTGCTTAGCACATATGCTGCAATATTATTGGCTAAGACTCGATTTTGTTTATGAGTTGATGTTTTACGAGATTACTTCTACCTGGGTAAAATTTCATGTGGTTGAAAACATATTTCCACAATTTATAACATGTTGTCAAGCACATTTCAGACAATGTAAATAACCTTTGCTTGCTTAATTTCTAATGTGACAGATGCAAAACAAGAGAATATCTAAAGTAACTAAAGTTTTATATGTCGGAGTTTGCTTTTAACACTTGAGTCAATAATTTATAGGAAAAGTCAATTAAGGAATAGTGTTTCAGTAGTTTGGATATTTATTCATTTCACCATTTTTTTCATTATATATTTAATAACTTTGGATCAATTTTATTTGTAATTATTTATTTTAGGTAAAAATATTTTTTTAAGTTACTATCAACATTGAAATTACGAAAATTTATCTTTCTTTCTTTTTAAAAAATGATTAATATAGTCTGTGTTAATTTCTTTATTAGATTAAGTTAATGCGATTGTAAAGTAGTATCTTTTTTAAATACTCTCGATAAATTCTTTTAACCATTGAGGTGAGTTGGTTCATGTTTATGTTAATTTCAAATATGAGCAATTAAGAATAATTATATAGCATATGTCACAGATATAATATTCGTAGACACTCATTTTCGTCCGGGACTTCAAAGGTCTTATTTAGTATATATGATAATATATATAATAATTTCAAAAATATACAATATATATAGCTTTTGAAGATATATAGTATAGTTTTTTAAAATATTTTT